AATATCTAACCTTTGCTCAGGCACCGAGGGGCACACCGAGGTGCCGATCCTCCTCCCAGAGACACTTCCATGCCCACTTGGAAGCACGGCACGCTGCCAGGCAGCCGGATAATCCTGCCCGGAGCCGGGCTCCTTGAGGCAAAGCAGCTTTGTGGGCCACTGGAGCCACTGGCGCCTCAGACAGGCCGGCCTTCACTCTCACAGCCGCCTTAAGCTCATCTCAGCTCCAAATAACACGGCCAAAAACCTCCCCTGAGCCTCAGTGATCCACAAAAGGCCGTGGCAGCACAAGGAGAGGTGGGAACAGAGGAGGAGAAGTCATGCCCTGGTGGGAGCCTGCCTAGGGACACCGGGTAGGCCGCTCTTGGAGACGGGGAGCTACTGGAACGTGGCTTGGCCATGATTTTTCCTCTCTGCCCTCGTATCAGAGCTCACACACCAGCACTCCTCCTCCTCTCCTGTCCCTGTGCTTTGTACGACCCACTGTCCCTCCCCTGCCCTGCAGCCACGTGGTGAAAAAGAAATCACCACCGAGCTCCAAAGTCAAATGTCCCCATCCATCAAACACCAAAACCTGGAGCAAAACCTGGTTTTTAATTAAAGTTTGGCTGAAGTTGACCCCTGCACTCACAACCTGTGAGGAAGCAGCTGATGAGCAGATGTCACTGCTGGATAAGCCTCGTTTCTTTAGGAAGCTAAAAATGGAACCAGCCATCACCATCATCTATGTTTAGACCCAATATTCCAAACAATTCCTCTATTTGCAGTTGGGGTTTTTTTTCCCCTCCTGAAGCTATCTCTGGCAGAAGAATTAAACAGCTGCCACGGAGAGCAGGAATGGAGTTAAAAGCTGAAGAAATGCAGCGCTGGTAGCAGAGGTGACGCACCAGCTGGATGCATTCCAGGTCACTGCAGCCTGGCAGGCTCTCCAAGAGGACATCCCAGTGGATCTCAGTGGCACAGTTGGATTTTTCCCCCACGTATGCAAAAGCCATAACTCCTATGGAGCCAACCATTTCACGCTGGAAGCCCTGCAATTCATTTTTTAAATGGTTTGCCAATCAGGTTATTATGTTCAAGCTAAGGGAGGAAAAAACCCTATAGAAAGACTTTTCATGGGGAAAGCATTCCGCTTAGGATTTTCCTTGTCTTCCTGTGCCAAATTGGCAGGAGAGCTGTATAATTACAGAGCTTTTACAAACAAAATTAATGTACAGCAAGTCTGTACATGGCCACCCTCCCATCCATGGATTTTATGGAGAACAGAGCAAAAGGATGCCAGTTTTATTTCACTGTGAAACCACTCTCCCAAAACAGGAGTGTTTTTAAGTAAAATCTCTGTGTGGTACCACAGACTGTAGTCCCCTCTTTTAAAAGGCAGGCAAACTTCACAAGAGCCACAGAGAACAGGGACAGCATCCCTCAGATCTGTGTTCCCACACAGGGATCAGGATGCCCAGGAGTGGCATCAACCCATGAGATGTGGCCATAGAGACAGAAGAAGGGCAATTATGGAAGTTGTTAAACATAAAACCTTATTTTCTTATCTGACTGACCAGGAGACCCTATTTTTTAGACTGAAATATAACCAGATACATGTGCCAAAAACCAAGTCTCAAAAAAAGACACCTTATTATATATTAAAGGTTTATTTCTCTTTATTATAGCAGCACATCAGTCCCCCTAAGATCCACAAGCAGCTTCCAAGAATCCTCTGCTGCTGTCACAAATGTTCATTCTGTGGATCCTAATTTCTCTTTGTTTTTCCTGTCACATTCAATATATCTCCAGTTCATAAATTATAGACTTGCCTGATTTCCCTAACATCACCCAGGAGTCTACAGTAATTCAGGAGCCCAGCAGATGCTGGGGAGCTCCAAGTCCTGGATGCTGAGACTCCTTCAGGATGAGAACAGACTAAGGCACGTAATTCCCTCCTGACTGAGCTGGCCACATTCCTTTCCCTTATTTTTCCTCCAAAATTCCACTGCTAGCAGTTCACTCTCGAGGTGCTGAGGAGATGAAGATGACACACGTGTGTGGTCCCAGACCTGCTGGCACAGGATCCATAGGATACCTCCAACACCGTGCCAAACCACTTCACTCCATCCAACCACTGCTCCTGAAAGCTGAGCAGGGCAGGGGACACTCCTGAAGGCCAGGGCCATCCAGAGGGACCTACACGAGATTGAGGAGCAGGAGATTCGAGGGGATAATGAGGTTCAACAAGTGCTGCACTGTGTTGGGGTACAAGAACAAACTGGGAGGAGAAGTCATTGAGAACAGCCCTGTGAAGAAGGATTTGGGGGTGCTGGGAGATGAAAAGGCACTGGACCCCCAAGTGTGGCCTTGGAGGAGCCAATAATAAAGAGGGAGAGAGACTATTTACAAGGGCCTGGAAAAACAGGACACAGGGAATGCCTTCCCACTGTCAGAAGGTAGGGATAGATGGGATGTTGGGAAGCAATTCCTCCCTGTGAGGATGGCACAGGGTGCCCAGAGCAGCTGTGGCTGCCCCTGGATCCCTGGAAGTGTCCAAGGCCAGGCTGGACAGGGCTTGGAGAAACCCAGGATAGTGGAAGGGGGTTTTAAGGTCCCTCTCATACCAAACCATGCTGGGATTCTGTGACATGATTCAATAATTCCCTATTTCCCTGCAACATGAGACACATCCCCACTTGCTCCAGAGTCACAACCCAGATTTTTGTTTTTTGGAAACAGAGCAAGAGCTGTCATGTCAGCAGCACCCCCACAACACTGGAATCATTGAAGAATTTACTCAGTGACCTTTCAGCAGCAGATAAACACATACACTCCTTAAACATTAACTCCTTCCAAACCCATATTCATTTCAGCATTTTTTGGACACTGACACACATTTAATTTAGAGCAACAAACGTCAAAAACATTCCACTGCTTTCTTCAGCCTGTGAGAAGCTCAGCACAGCAATTAAACCACACGTGTGGAGTTAAACACAAGCTCTAGAGCTGCTGCACCGACAGCTTCTCTCCAGCTCTTCATGGTCCTTTACCATTGTAAGAGGCTTTGGGGTTTTTTTGTTTTGGATGGTTTAAGTCATCTTATATATACTTCCTTGGCAGTTCTCTTGGGGGGAGGGAAACAATTTTTTAAGAGGATTTTAAATTATTTTAATCTGAAGAGCATTTATAAACATTTCCCAGTATACAGCAAGAACAATCTGTTGTTGGTGGTACATTAATCCTGGCGAGGACTTGAAGGGCAGAAACACAATGGGGTGAAATTGTTACAGATAGCCTCGGGGTTATTCCAATACTTGAACAACTGGAATAATGGGGTGGAATTAAAAACACGGGCCCAAGCTTTGGAAACGCCTCACGGTAAGATCACGGTGCCCAAAAAGAGGAACATAAAACTGTTGAAGAGGAGACACTTGTGGAAATTAAAAATGAGCCTTGTAGAAGCACAAGAAGTGCTTCTAGCCCAGATGGAAAAACCATCCATCCTTTTCCACTCAAAAAAAATAATAACCAGCAGGAAAAATTATCTTTCTTCCATTTGGACAAGTAAAATTTCACAAGGTTACTGTAGAGAACAACCCAGAACTGGCAAAATGGAAGAGAGGAGAGATAATCTAATGGGCCTTTTCTATCTAATTTTTATGATTCTTATGAAAAATGACCTGAATAAGTGAAGTTATTTGCCCTTGTCCTCTTTGTTCATATTGGATTTAGTCATGAGGGAAATCCTGCCAAGGATAGTATGTTTTACTCAATTTACTACCCTTTGTGATTGCTCTATAAAATATTGGATACATGATAGGAAAGGTTATGGAGGTTCAGGGCGGGGGTTTTTGCAATGGAAAAAGAAGGAACACATTGAACACTTGCTGGCAGTAAAAATTAAGACAACAAGAACTGGTGGAATTTTCTGAGGAGAATGTTTGAGTCCATGTTCAAAGGATTGTATTTAACCCGAATACGGTATAACTTAAAAAAAATAGCAATTGAGTATTAAACAAACAGCCTCTTGCAACATTTCAGTTCCAAGTAGGTCACAAATAACACTGGAATAACTCAGAAGCTCCATCTCTCTGCTGCACAAACTCTGTAATTGCCAGAAGCTGAGGTTTCCTTTGAATTCCCAGTATTTATTATCCTGCTACTTTCGGACTCTCGCCGTTAATCATACGGTTGCACTGCTCCCGCTTTACAGCAGAAGGCAAGAAACCAGAACCTGCTCTTCCAGGCTTTGCATTTGGTGTGGCTAACACTGAGCTGGGAGTCCCCTTTGCTGTGGAACCCACCCCCAGCCCCAGCATCTGTGCTGAGAGAACCTGGGTCACGCTCGGCGCAGCCCCTGAGCCATAAAAAAACACGGAGAAGTCTGGCAAAGCCCAGGTGCAGCCGGTCACCAGCACTACCAACCCCTTCTCGGGGACTCCAGCACGCTGAGGTTGTTTTCCTAAAGCTATAAAGGCCAGCCATAATGATGCAGGATCTGTTAAATCCTGGGAATGCACTGTGTTGAAAGATTCCAGGGAGAAGTTGGGGCATTCCTCCCTTACCATTCAATCCTACCCCAAAACCAAGAGCCTGGGAACTTGCAGCTGCACCGGATTGTAATAAGTGGTGTCAAAAATTCCAAGCAAATGAGTACCACATGTCTGGGAAGCAGGCCCTTTTCCTGGGCTGACCTTGGAGGCTGAAGGGCTGCCCCTTTCCTGACAAAAGGATTGCAGGAAGAGAAACATCCCGAGTGCCGCCATGTAACCACACGGGTGAGATCCTGCAGCCCTTTGCCACAGAGAGCACGAGTCGAGGCTTTGGGAGGAGATCAGATCCCATTCCTCAGGAGCTTCCCCAAAAGCTGAATGGACTCCCACAGAGTGGGTCTTGTTCCCTCACAGGCTTCGGGTTTTTATGGGGGATTCCATAAATCACTGCTGCTATAGCATCCCCTATGGATTTTCTTGGAATGGATGCTGGGAGACAAAGGCAGAACAGAAGCCCTGACTCACCTTGTGGAGGGTGGATTTTTTGCTGCCATTGGAAAGATGGACATGCTCCTCTCCAGCTGTGTCAGACATGAGCATCAGAAGGCCTGGAAATTATACATGTTACTCCTTAACCTCGTTCACAGCAAGGTCCTCCTGACCCTTTACTTGGGATTAAATTACACACATTTACAAAAACTAATTGTCTACAACGCATTCCAATTACAAGTCTAATTAGACTTATCTAACTGTTGCCTGACTGACTTGGTCTGGAATCAAACCATGCTTTTTGCTTTATTCTTTATTAAATTGGGCTGAAAGGCTTTCTGGAGCTCTGGAAGTTCAGAAATAGATAAAATAGAAGCATCTGAGGACTGAGCAGATAAAAGGCCAGGCCAACACAGAAGAGCTTTCCAAGCACACATCAGAAGGATCCATCAGGATTTAAAAAATCTTGGACTCAATATCTTTACTTTTGTTTCCAAAAGACCAAAAGAACAAAAATGCTCAGTCCCAAGCTTCAGGAGGGTGTCTCATCCAAACAGAGGATTATGTCAGTCCCTCCTGATCTTGAAACATATAAATCCATTTTACACTACTTTCCTTTTGGAGGCACTGAACAAGTCTATCAAAACCTTGCAGTTATGTATTAAGGCAATAATTACAATCAAACAAGCATGTCTCAATGGGTTTAAAGCAATATGGACCACTGTGCTCAAAGGACAGCAATCAATGACTCCACATCCAGCTGGCAGCCAGAAACAAGGAAAACAGGGCTGGAACTTGGGCTTCTCTTGTCCAAAACCACCATGGATTACTTGAGTAACAGCACAGGCTGGTGTGAAGAGGAATCACAGGATGGTTTGGGTTGGAAGGGACCCTAAAGACTGTCAGAACTCCAGCCTGGCCTTGGGCACTGCCAGGGATCCAGGGGCAGCCCCAGCTGCTCTGGGTAACCTGTGCCAGGGCCTCCCCACCCTCACAGCCAGGAATTCCTTCCCAATATCTCACCTAACCCTGCCCCCCTCTGGCAGTGAGATGCCATTCTCTGTGTCCTGTCCCTCCATCTCTTGTCCCAAGTCCTTCTCCAGCTCTCCTGGAGCCCCTTTGGGCAGGGGAGGGATCTGTCTGGCCAGTCAAGGGAAGTCATTAATGCCCCAAACTGCAGACAGCACGGGACTTGGGAAAACCAGGTGAGAAAGCTGGACTTCTTTGATCTGGCAAGGAGGAGACTAGAGCCAACCTAAGCCCAGGCTGCAGCTCCCTAAACAGCAGCTACAAAGGTGTCAGTCAGAGACTGTGAGCTCTGCAGGAGCCTCTTCTCAGGCAGCCCACAGCATCTTGCCCACCGTGCTCAGTGCTCAGGATCAGCCCAAAAATCAGACTAAGCCAAGGGAGGAAGGGATGCCACTCCCTCTTAGTCTGGTGCATGGACTATGCCCAAGTGAACATCAGCTATGCCCCATCAGAGCAGCCTCAGCAATTAACACCCTCTTCTCACCCATCAGTTCCTCGTGACAGAGTTCATCCCGTAAGGAATCACAGCGTGCATTTGATTTTCTGCTCAGAATTTGCACCATCTAATTTACTCACGATTAGCATAGATGATCTAATATTCCTTTCTGATCTTAATTCCCACCAAACCCATCAGATTCAATCTCCCTTTTTTTGTACACAGACTACAAAAGCTCGAGTCATTACAATTCCTACCCGGTTCCACACTGGTGTAAACGAGAGAATGAGACCCTTAAATTTCCAAAGAGCTTGAAGGCAGCGTTGCATTAATGAACCTCCTGGAACAACCATGTGTCTGTGCAGAAGAATGTCAGCTACTTGCATGGCAGCCTTTGAAGGTCTCTCCAAGGAGGAAACGAGCCATCAGCCCGGACAAATTCCCCAGCTGGGTTTTGATGGATCACAAGACAAACAGATCCCTACAAAGAGACGCTGAAATTGTTTTACAAGGCCTGGTACCCCCGACCTCAGCCCTACTCTGTCCTGCTCCACTCACACAGCCTGAGAAAAGCCCCTTCAGGTGGGCACACTTGGACTTGGGGAAGCAGAATGGTTGTGACAAAATCCAAGCACCAAGAGAGCACTTCAATATCTGGGTAGAAAAAGGGGGAAAAAAGCAACATGGTTCAAGTGAGTGATTCCATGTTTATTTATCTTCCACACCAAACAAGCTGAGACAGTTTCACACCTTATACTTACTGAAACAGTCTGAAAGAGGGACTGGGGACAGGGGATGGAGGGACAGGACACAGGGAATGGCTCCCACTGCCAGAGGGCAGGGATGGATGGGATATTGGGAATTAGGAATTGAGGGTGGGCAGGCCCACAGCTGGGGCTGCCCTGGATCCCTGGCAGTGCCCAAGGCCAGGCTGGACAGGGCTTGGAGCAGCCTGGGACAGTGGAAGGTGTCCCTGCCATGGCAGGGGGTGGCACTGGGTGGGCTTTAAGGTGCCTTCCAACCCAAACCATTCTGGATTCTGTGAGAACACCTGTCAGATCAATGCTGCTGCTGACATCCCAGCCTGTTCCGGGAGAAATCCGTTGCTTTTCTCAGGAATTCATCAAGTGGAAAGCTGTTCTATGAACACAAACACTTGTGCACCCCACTCTTAATCTGAATTCCAGTTTCCAAGGGAGGTCTGACATTAGTTCCTAGCACACATCACCACTGAAACGTATCATTCTTTGTTTCCTACGCAATAAAAAATTAAACAAAGACTCTCAAATTACTAATTAGATGCCATTGCTTAAATAAGTGTGCACAGAAGCAGTGGCCAAAATAAAGGAGTTCTAATTTTAATGAAAGGACAGCAGTGCACAAGTGATATTTGACCAAGCAGGGAGGAGAAATTTCTTTGAGGAGAATGATAGCACAATTTTTTAAAAAACCCCAAGTTTATAATCAAATGTTTTAAATCAGCAAGCTGGGATTCTTGACTTAAATACAATTTAAATCAGCAATAGATTTAAAAAATGGATTTAAAACTAGAAGTAGTTACATGAAATAACCATTTCTTCTCCTGGCAGACAAAGCTGCAGGATCCCCTTTGGCAAGAAAATAGGAAATGTTTAGAGAAATTGAGTATTTAAAATAAATTATACCTATTGCAGCTCTTCCTCATATAAAATACAATAATAGTACAAAATATTGTTTAAGAAAAGCAATAAGAGGAAGGCAAAAGCTACCTTAAGTAGGTTGGTAAATGGTAAAATCCAGCTCTCCCACCCTTCCCCACCAGGAATGCAGTCACACGCAGGCTGTGGCTAAACACAGGAATACAACAGGAAAAATTAAACTGGGTGTAACAACAACAAACAGAATGGAAATGGAATCCATTCAGATCCTCCCTCCCACTATCAAATTCCTTGCATGATGACTGTTGGAACGGGCATAAACTCAAAATTCAAAAATCCAGGAGATAAAAGGTGTCGGTTCACTGCCACTCCACCTTTGTAGGACTGTGTAAGGCACTCGAGGAGTTCAGAGCATGATAAAAATCAGCTTTTTTTTCAGCTCTCACCATTACTTTTGAGTGGCACCAATGCCAAACCCCAGAGCTACAAGAGCTTCTGTGCCATATAATCAAGCCCTGCAAAATTTTGATCCAAGAGGCCTGAAAACAGCCTTGCAAGGGAAATATCAATAATTCCTTTCCAGGGACAGGGAAAACAAAAATCCAGACAAACCAGAGATCTTGCTCCAAGTCACACAAGAACTCAGCTCCTGTGTCATGCACAGTCCCTGCTTTTGTCTTTCCCTGTCCTTGATGGCAAGGCATCTCTTGCCATCTCTCCCCCTTAAACCTAAAAAAAATACCTTGGCATGCTGCAAAAGTGTTCATTTCCAAGAGAGAAAAACACAACTTTGCCTTTGACAACTGTTTTTCAGACTGAAATATCCTCTTGAACAAGAGAATTTCCCATACTGGAAAGGTGTGAAAGCTCTCCAGCTTCTCCTTGCCAAGTTTTAATCACTATAATCCAGGACTAACTTCCCAAGCACGGAAAATGGGAAGGTTTTGGGTTTTCCCAGTCCCACAGGGAGTGCTGCTGAGGGATGAATAAAACAGGTCAATTCCTCTGTGGATTTGCAGCATTCCAGCAGCCCCATTCATAATTCATGGTTTTGACACATCTACCTGCTGCTTGGGAAAGATGAGCACACACAAACATGACATGGGCAAGAGCTTTTTCCTTCTTTCACTCTCGTTTCCACTCTCCCAACAGAAAAAAAAAAATTAAAAAATAATAAAAAAGGAATAGGCTGAAGAAGCAGAGTAGGGATTAATCCCAGAAGAATAAATTTATTGCTTCCACACAAGCCCCTGCCTGTCCAGAAGCACACGTGTACGCTCATAGAAAACAAGTCTTACATATTATTTTTGAAGGTTCAACATGGCCGTTTACCTTTGTAATTATCAGTTTGAAGCTGCAGGGAAACAGACATCCCTGGGAAAGGGGACAGAACCCTGGGAAAGGGGACAGAACCCTGGGAAAGGGGATACATCCCTGGGAAACGTAAACAGCCAAGAGTGTTTAGGTGGTTCCAAACTGAATGTTGTCAAACATGGAAAACTTCCTAAATCTAAGTGGGGGAAATTGACAGTGGGAAAGTGCTTAACTTATACAGTCCCAGAATGGCTTGGGTGGGAAGGGACCTTAAAGATCACCCAGCTCCAAGCCCTGCCATGGCAGGGACATCTTCCACCTGTCCAGCCTGGCCTTGGGCACTGCCAGGGATCCAGGGGCAGCCACAGCTGCTCTGGGCACCTGTGCCAGGGACTCAGCATGCCCTCAGGGAAGAATTCCTTCCTAATATCCCATCCATCCCTGCCCTGTGGCAGTGGGAGCCATTCCCTGTGTCCTGTCCCTCCATGCCTTGTCCCCAGTCCCTCTCCAGCTCTCCTGGAGCCCCTTCAGGCCCTGCCAGGGCTCTGAGCTCTCCCTGGAGCCTTCTCCTCTCCAGGTGAGCACCCCCAGCTCTCCCAGCCTGGCTCCAGCCCCCAGAGCATCCCCACGGCATCCTCTGGATCTTTCCAGCAGCTCTGCAGGTGACATCTCACCTGGGCTCAGGGACAGAATCCCGCTCAGC